CATAGCAAACCACTAGCTAGTATGATAAGCAAAACAAGAGTGGCTGCCACACACAGTGAGGCTACCTCTATTTTCTACCTAGATTCTCTCCCTCGCTCCCTCACCACCCACAATACTACGCACAGTGATTATCACCACCACAATCCTGCTGTTATCACAATACTGGTCACTAAATCCTGTAAATACATAATTGACCACAAGTTTATTTTGTAAAGGAACCTAAGAAATCGTTTGAAGATTCCTAGATGGACGAAATAATGCTGTGGTGCTGTGGCTAGTGCTGTGAACATTGTGAACAGCATTCAATCACTAATATTTGAACATTGTACACAGTCATTATCACACTCAGGCTCTTCTGTAATACTATCATGGCTAAATAATACAAGTTATATATATATATTTTGACATTATTAGGCGATGCTGTGATCACAAGCTGAACAGCAGTGCTGTGAGCTTATGCTGCATGCGCCGGCCTTGGTTGCTCACTCACTACTGAGGCTCTCACACCCGGGAATGTGGACCACGATTTTTTTTAATTAATTAATAACACTTTCGCGTTCCACTGACTGAATAGTTCATCACTCAATGTTCTACTGAATAGGTTCCAACGACGCATCAATGCGTCGCTTTTATATCAAAATTTCTAAAAAAAAAAGTTACTATCCTATCTTTATTTTTTTTTTAAATGAGCGCCATTGTTTTCCCACAATCCTCCATAGGCCGCATGGGATTCTGGGTCACGCCATGCGGTCGGCCTAGTCCTTTGTTTACGTCTTGACCACCGCCCTCCCACGTCCAGAACCTGTGCACCTCTCTGCCCTGTTTAGGCGTGTTTATTTGTTGCCGTGTCTTGCAATCACCGTATTACTTGAAAACATGAATCGTGGTAAAGGACAGAGCACTTCTACACCCAAGAAAGATAGTAAAACCACCAAGGAGGATAGGTTGAGTATGCTGTACAAAAGGTTTAGCAACGTGAAGCTTACCCCCAGTAAAATTCCTGAATTGTTGGATCGTTTATCAGATGTGGAGGCAGATGCTGAGGGGGAAGAACGTGACAGTGATTTTAGTAGTGATAATGAGGGGACAGCGACATCTGATGAGTTTGATGAATCATCGAGTGAGGAGAGTAGCGAGGGGAGTGAGGATGAGGCGGCGGATGAGGGCCGCCCCAAGCCACCTATAAGGAGGCGTGCAGGACGTCTTCAACAGCCTAATCCCGATGATGCCTGGTCTAGTGACAATACACCACCATTTGTAGACAGTTTCACTGCCACACCAAGCCTAACTGTCCCAGTGCCAATCACTACCCTGCAATTTATACAATTATTCCTGACCCGTGCCCTCATTGAATATATCACAGTGGAAACGAACAGGTATGCCAGACAATTTATTCAGAATGCTTCCAGGCGCACCATGAGGTTGTGGAAAGAGGTATCTGTCAAGGAAATGGCCAGGTATTTGGGTTTGTCAATGTTGATGGGTATTGCACGACTCCCGACAATGAGAATGTACTGGCAAACAAGCCGGTTGTGGCATATGAGGACCTTCAATATTTTCATGGCTGAAAACAATACCAACATATCAGCCAGTTTCTTCAAAGTTATAACCAGTTTGCAATTCCCCCAAACAACAAGAACCGCATGATAAAACTGAGCACAATCATTACTTATTTTACCAACAAATTTGGCACATACTATGTTCCCAATAAATCACACTGTTTGGATGAAGGTACAATGTCCTGGCGTGGTCGTTTATCCTTCAAGGTTTACAACCCAAATAAACCTGATAAGTATGGGATAAAGTTGTACATGCTTGCTGAGGCAGGGACTGGCTATATTATTGATATTGAGGTGTATGCCGGAGTTGGTAAGACAACAGTGGAGACAGTGATGGGCCTTATGCGACCCTTATTGAACAAGGGTTATCTTTATATGGACAATTACTATAACTCTGTCCATCTCACAGAATTGCTAAGGGAACATGGTGTATACACTTGTGGAACACTCAGATTGCAGCGTGGCACCCCAAAAGTTCTGCAACAACTTGCAAAAGGTAAATTCCCTGTTGATCAAACAATTTTCAGGCGCAAGGACAACACTTTTATTATCCTATGGAAAGACAAGAGAGTGGTGTCATTGATCACAAACTGCCATAATGCTGACACACAAGAAGTACAAAGAAGGAAGAGTGAGGAAACGTGACGGTTCAGCATCACTAAAGATTGTAACTGTGAACAAACCCACTGCCATTTGCGACTACAACACCAACATGAAAGGTGTTGATCACTTCGACCAAATGGTCAAATATTACAGGTTCACCAGGAAATCACATAAGTGGACGAAGAAGATCACTTATTTCCTTCAGATGGCTATACACAATGCCTGTGTGTTGTACAAGATGTACACAAATGATGCCAAGAAATTGACCCTACTCCAGTTTCACGAGGTAGCAATATGGGCCCTGTTGAGGTGGGACCTGGATGAGTATCCTGCCACTGAAAGCCCTCTCCCACATGCTGAGGATTACCAAGGTCCTTCTGATGATTTGGCAACACCGGGACCATCTGGAGTGAGGCGTCCTTTATTTCCTCCTGCACGCCAAGCACACGACTCATCCTCATCTGACACAACCTGAAACGGAAACGCCTGCACCTGAACCTAGTCCTCCACCTGTGAAAAAACCCACGTATTGTTGATCCAGAGGATAAGCTGAACAAGAAGTTGACCCATGCTATAGTGAGAATTGCAAAACGTAAACGGTGTCATGTTTGCATCAAGTCAGGGATAAGGAAAGACTATGTATCAGTGCAAGACATGTGGAGTTGCTCTATGTGCCACACCATGCTACACAAAATACCACCGCACGAGGGTATTTTGGGGGGCGTAAAAATAGCGCCTCTGCAACCATCCACTCCACCTAACGTAACATCTGTTGAGCAACTTCAGGGACATTTTCCTGAAGCAGGTGGAGTGGATAACCAAATGCTCAACTTATTGACCTTCCATCATCACATCGTGGGTAAGTACACACACTTTGTATTCATCATTGTGAAGTTATTACTTCTTCATACTTTGCTGTGGGTACCTCTATATATATTCCGGTTCTTAGTGCTCAGATTGGTGTGTCTACATAGTGCATCTTATTGCGAGTATTTTGATACCAAAATGAACAATGTAGCACAAAAACTTCCATTGGAAAAATATTTGTTTGGCGGGTGTATTGGGTGTAGCGGGGTGGAAATGGCGGGTGAGGCATCAACGTGATTGGGGGTGTTTGGGGGTGAGGCGCACCCGTGTAACCCACTTTTATGGATATGTCTGTGTAGGCAATTTTATTGCGTTCACAGTGATACCAAACAAAACCATATGCAACAAGTTTTGACTTGATAAACACAGTAGAAACATATGGGGAGAGTTTAGCTAAGTTTAGCGTGAGCATGAAACAAAGGACGCAGTTCTTTGGTTGGTGGTGGTGTAATGTTAGCTTTGGTGAAATGGTATGCCTATGTTCTTATAGAACATTTCATTAGCTACACAGTGATACCAAAATAAAACACGTACATCGAAAATGAGGGTCACAAACATGATTAGAGTATAAACTTTTCAGTTGTGGTTGAGCGCATGTGCAGCTGGGTGCACTGGAGCGGGTAACCCTAAGCCAACTTCCCACATTCCTGCGGGTGGGGCGACACTATTATTTATTGTTTACATTCATATGTCCGTGTAGGGAATTTTATTGCGGTCAGAATGATACCAAAATAAACCACGAATAACAATTATGGGGTTGGCAAACATAAAAACATCGTCAACATTGATGCGCGGTTTGACGCTCACGGCTAACGAACGCCACAGTTTCTTATTTGGTGTGGTTCTCATGTTGGATTTGGTGACAATTTATGTATATATTCCTCTAGAGCATTCTCTTGAACACATTGATACCAAATTTAAATACATACATCGAAAATTAAGCTCAGCAGCCCGAAAAGATTATAAACATTTTAGTGCTGACGCGCAGTAGGCCCACATGAACGGCTCACTTGGGGGTCAAGGTCAGCCTACTGCCAGGTGCGCAAAAGTGTTAACTGTGGGTGTTGAAGCCATTTGGACCCCTTGTGGTTTGGGGGTTAATGCATTATCCCTCTACCCATGGTTTTTTAACACGTTGTCTCTGAACCCTATTTTGAGCTGTAACTTGTGTAAACCACAGGAGTAAATAGAATACAGTGGCACCCCGTGTATGAATTTAATCCGTTCCAATAAATGTAACGTAACCCAAATATTCGTACACTATCAAATTTTCCCCACAAGTAATAATGTAAATTTGATGAAATTTTAGTTGTTCACTGGAAAATTTGTATTCAGGTGCAATCGTACACCGAGATTCCACTATACCCTGTATATAAAAACAAATGAATGCAGATGTTGCAGTTCTTCTGTAGAAGGCATCTAGAGATTTAAGCACAGCAGTTGAGTTTTCTAAAGAGTTGTGCGAGACTACTAAAGTGAATGTGGATAAAAGAATGGTTGTGGTAGAGAGTGAGAGTAGTGAACTTTGTGTGTGAATCTTGTGTAAATGGAGAAGAAGTTGTCGTTGTTGACTATTTGACATTCTGATGGACAGAGCTAATACAGAATCATAAACAACTTTAACAAGTTAAAGATGAGGAAATGTTACCATTTGATGGAACTATTACCGACAACAATATACATTAACCATGAATATTTATACTAAGCAGAAAGTTTAAGTTTGGACTAATATTTTAAGAATGGAAAGTAACCAAGCAAGTAATTATCAAAAGAAAGTGGCTAGTGAAAGTATGGGGAAAACTGGATATACTGCATATACGAGCAAACAAGTACAGAAAACTGGGAACTCTGCCACTGTGATAAAAGAAAAAACTTCTCTTTAAAATACATATAAGACACAAGAAACTTGGATGTATACAATGAAACATGCAGACACAATGATGAGTGCTTGTATTTCTTAAGGAAACTTACCCCACTTTTTTGCGCTGGCTGCAACTTCCCTGATTCTATAGCATCTTTCATGAAGCGGTGTATGGGCAGTAAGACTCGCTTCTTCCTGGATGCATAGTCTACCGAGTGCTCTTTAGCTTCTTGTACCATCATTGTAAGTGACCTATAACAAATTAATAAACATTAGGGTCTCGTAATACAGTTGGGTTTATTCTCAACTCCCAATTGGGAATCCCGGGTTCGATTCCCAAGTGGGACAGGAATTATTGGACACGTTTCCTTTCACCTAATGCTTCTGTTCATGTAGCAGTATATAGGTACCTGGGAGCTAGGCAACTGTTGTAGGGTTGCATCCTGGTAAGGGTAAGTGGTCTGTCCTTAGGGAAACCTTGATACAAGCCTAAAGTATAAACACAAAAAGATACATGTACAGTATTAAATTAAATTGTGTACTGGATGCAGTTCAAAGAAGTTCAGTTTTGGTTGCCCCACAATAGGTTGGATATAAATTCACTGGAATGTATACAAATAAGGATGGTATATGAATTAGAAGTCTTCCATTTAGAGATACTGTACTAAAAAAGTTTAATTTAATTTCCTTAGCAAGGCAGAGTAAGGGGAGCCATAAGATCTTTTGTATGTTTACAAAAGGATATCACAAAGGAGACATGGCTTAAATACATCTTCAAAGAAGGAGAAAACAAAACAATGGATACAAATTGGATAAGTTTAGATGCAGGAAAGAACTGGGTAAATACTGGTTTGGGAATAGGGTTGTTGATTTAAGGATCACATTACAGGGTACATAATAGCCCCGACATTGCTGCTCTATTTCAAGTGAAGGCTAGACATGTACAAGTTTGATTGGATATAAAAATAGGAGCTGCCTTGTATGCGCCAACATGCATTCTGCCGGTACCTTTAGTCTTATGTTCTTAATCTACAGCTATAATACTATATACAAGATTATGGTACAGCCATGACAAAGTCAACTTAAAAATACTGAAGAGAACTATTTAACCAATTTTAGTTATTAGAAGTGAAACAATGTATACAGTAGTGTCTACACTACTCAATTTATACAGTAGTGTTCCAATAGACTGTAGTCGAGTATGATCCAAGTGCAGTGAGGAAAAGCATTTGGAAAATAGAAACAGAAGAATTACCTGTATGGTACATACAGGTAATTCCTGTATCAGTACCTGTATTACCTGATAAAGAGGGTTTGCTTGCAATAAATTAGGCTAGTTTATTGTACACCCCTTCATATCCTGTAAGGGCAACAGTGAGAAATATATCTATATAGATATCTAAATGGTTAGCAGGAGTGCCTTTCATCCTTGCATGTTTGGTATGGCCAAGTATTGTACAAGATGCATACAAGTTGTTTTGTTCCTCACAACACATGACCAGCATTAATTTAATAACAAAACTAAAAAATCCTTATAACTTTCACAATGGAAATATCTATTACAGAGCCTCACCTGTAACATCTACTACAATGCAGCCCCAATTTTGCCAAATAAATGTTTTTCAGCCAATATTTGGCAAAGAAAATTAGGACATGAAACAATGGGGTATAAATTGGATAAGTTTAGAGTCAGAGAAGACCTGGGCAGATACTGGTTTGGAAGCAGGGTTACAGATTTATGGTACATATTACTGAGTAACATAACAGATATGGGATTGCTGAACTGTTTCTGCAGTTACCATTCAACTTCTCATAGACCAGACAATCACTAAGGAAGGCTGGTCCCTAGCTAGGTAGCAATATCAAACGAACTATTGAAATTGTCAACAGGTAATCTATAGGACAGACTCATCTGGTTAGGTCAGATAAATTCAGGTAATTTTTGGTTTCAAATGAGTACTGAACAGTTACTGGTGGCAAGATGAGCCGGTTATTCAGGATTCACTCAGAAAGCTAATCAATTTATTAGATTGAATTTAGTAATTTTTAAAAATCATATTTATTTACAGTTAACCTGAGAATTTGCTAAATAAGGAACCAGTTTAACCAGGGTTGACCATACACAAACAAGTCCATCTCTTACTCACTTCATTGCATTAAACTTAGAGATAATTTCCATAAATTTGGTCTTGCAATCTTCAGCAGTCCGACCCCCAAATGCAACTTCGTCCCACTTTAAATGTTTTAGCGTGACCCGAAAACTTTTCGTGTCCTTCTTGGGCAGCTGCTCCTTCATCTTTTCAAGCAGAATTTCCTCCTCTTCCACTGACCAAGGTAGAGGCTCTGTAATATATAGATAGTACTGTACTTAATATAGAAGTCAAAGTTAAAATATCCAAAGCATGTTATTCCACAATCCTTCAAAATCCAGTGCAATTCTCCAACTAGAAAATCTTGAAAATTCAGATAGAGGTTCAAAATGTCAAAACAAATACAATAAACAGAATAATACAGAAAAGAAAGTATTGAGCATTGTGCAATAACTCCTTTCTGAATATTACTCTGGGGTGCTCCCATACACAACTCCAAACTGTGAAGCGAAACTACATACAGTACCGTAGAGAATAGGGGTACTGCCCCAAGGAAAGGAGCAAACAACTCTCACTAAAGAAGGGCCCATATTAACACTCGCATTCTGGACATGCACGCCAGACTACCCCAAGGTGGCCCGGGCGTTTCCCGCGAGCGTGCAGCAACACTGAAATGTGTATACTCTCTTCAGATTTATCACCTCAATTTTCGTTGTATGTCGTTCATTTCAGTATCAATTTGTTTGCAATAGCATTCCCTACAGGGGTATATACATATGAGGCCCAAAAGCCTGGTGCACCCCACCTACAGCAAAGCCGAAAGTCGGCCAAGCGTTACCCGTAAGTGAACACCCATTGGCACACCCGCAATACCTGCTCACAAATGTATTTACTCTTTTTCAAGTTTCTCACCTCAATGGTCATCTCAGTTTGCAATAGAAATGGGAAGACATTGGTGCATATTTTAAAACCAGTCCCATAAAGATCAGATAAAAACTTGAATTTTAACAAATATTTTAATTTTGGCCGTCACTTACGTTCCTAAGGAACATCCGCAGAGTTATTTGTGGACTTCATCTCTGTCCCTAAGGAACGAAAAATATTTCTATAAATTCCATTTTTTAACCGAAATGGATGGGGATACTTTTGTTTTGTAGAGAATTTATTTGCGAATTTTTTGGTACCAGAATGAATATTATATCACATAAACTTCTATGAGTAAAAAAAAAATACACAAAGTATGTTTGGGGGTGTGGCGAGCGTGTGGCAGTGGGTTCCCTTTAGCCGTTGATATATCCAACACGTGGGAAATATTTGTATGTGTTATGTTTATGTCTGTGTAGGGAATTTTACTGCGATCACTGTCATACAAATTATAAAATGTTTCAACAAGTATAAACATGACAAACATCAAACGAACGAAAACAATGCGTTCGTTTCTGCCGCGAACGCATACTGAGCGACGTGGTTCTATATTTGGCGCTTCTCTTACACATGCTTTGTACCAATGTTATACAGTTCATCTTATAGAAAATTTTATTGCGAACACATTGGTATAAAAAAGAAATACGTACATAGAGAAGTAGGGTCAGGAAAAGTGTTAATTATGCAACATGGGAGCCAAATATGTTTCATAATATGGTAGATCTCTGTGGTACCCTGAGAGCAGAGATGGACAGACCATGTAAACAGGTATGGTTAAGTTGTACTTTGGACACTTCAACAAAGCTCGTTTCCTAATTATCAAAACTGTACATATTGTGTATATTAGTTTAGGTTGTGTTAGGCCCGGTTGGTTAGGTTAGGTTGGTTTGAATTAGGTAGGTTTTAAAATCCATTGGTGAATCATCATCTGTACAACTCGAGTTTTATCTTGCACGAAAAGGTTAGGTTGCAGAGGAAATATGCATCTCCACATGAAGAAACTACGGCAGAGGGCAGACAGGAAATCATCTACTTGTATTATCAAGGATAACAGTCATAGGAAAACTAAAGAAGCTTGTTATATGGATTGTGAAAACCTCCAATTAATTCTTTGTAATGGAGGACAAGTGTTTTAGAGAGATAACAGTTCACCTACAAAATAAAACATCAAAAGGAGCACAAAAAGAAGTTAAGAAAATGTTTGTTGTCAGAGATTTGCAAATTAGGTATATAAAGAGCAAAAAATGGCAAAGCCTTGATAAGCTAGAAATGTTAAAAATTTAGATAATATCCATTTCCAATTAGATTATCGAGGATCTACTGTAAACAAGCAAAGCACATCAAGCTCTTAAGCCAGTCAGATAAATAAGTCAAACTTCTTTAATATAAAACTTTTATACAAATGTTAATTTAATTTATGAATTAACAGATATGCTGTATTTTACTAAATAATATATTAAGTGAATATGAATAGCTCCTTACTGAGTAGTTCACTTGACTGTTTCCTAAGCTGAGTCGCAGTCAAAGGAAGCCAACATTCTGCACCAGTGGAGCAGGGTTCTAAACAAACATTTATTGTGTTGTACTGAGGAGAGAGGCACTGGAGAAATACTAAATCCAGCTACGAATAACTTCAACAAAATTTCATCTAGGCTTTCCAAGCGCTTCTTGGCAACACAGACAATGCCATTTAACTTTCTAGTTAAATGCTCTTTGCTTTTTAACAGTATTGCGCCCCGGGCGGTGCGCTCCGCGCGTATGCACGAAGTAGACCTAACGGTGCGGGCGAGCACTCTGCGACACTAAATGTGTATACACGTTTCAGTTTTCTCACCTTAATTCTAGAGCTAAGTCATTCGTTTTGGTATCATTGTGTTCACAATAGAATACCCTACAGGTGTATATGCATATAAGGTCCAAAAGCCAAGTTTGACTTCCTACAGCAAAGCCTACATTCGGGAAAAGTTACCCGTGAGCACACCAAATCAGTTAACTATGTATACTCGTTTCAGTTTCCTCACCTTAATTCTCATGCTACATCGTTCGTTTTGGTATCAATGTGTTCGCAATTAAACTCCCTATAGGTGTATATGCATATATTGTCCAAAAACCCAGCGTGACTCCCTTAGCAAAGCAAAAAGTTACCCGTGAACAAGAACCAATTATCACACCCGCAACCTAATGTGTATACTCGTTCAGTTTAATAACATCACTTCGTGTTACGTCACTCGTTTTGGTATCAAATTGTTTGCAATATAAAGGCGCGTATTTTAAAACTAGTCCCATAATAATAGAGCAATAACTGGAATTTTAACAAATATTTTAATTTTGGACGCTCATCATCACAAAATTATTAATATCTTTCCAGTGTTCTGACATAAAATTTCGTTACATCTTTAATTTCAGTATCAAATTGTTTGCAATGTAAAGGCGCGCATTTTAAAACTAGTCCCATAATAATAGCACAATAAATAGAATTTTAACAAATATTTTAAAATTTTGACCAAAAACGTATTTATAATATTTCAAGTGTTCTGACATCAAGTTTTGTGTTACATCTTTCATGTTGATATCAAATTGTGTGCACTCTAAAGGTGCTCATTTTGAAACTATGCCGAAGTCCATCGGATAGAAAATGAATTTTATACATATATTTTTTGTATTGGACGCGAGCAGTGTCCAAAACTAGGACATGAGAGAAAAAAGTGGACACAAGGGGTGTCCAAAGAAAGCGATAGTGTTAAACTGATAAATATTTCACAAAAGGGTGGATTAAATTACCTTAAACCAAATGTTTTTCTTTAACAAAATTAATTTTATTGAAAATTACACAAGGGAGAGCAAGACGAAAATTGCCAAAACACAAGGAAATTAAGCTATCAAGGCTCAAGCGTGAACGCCACTGGAACAGTTTAACCACTGCACTGCGCAACGTGCCTGTAGGTGCTCGACGGGTAGTGTGCAACGCTCCTCAGGGATCTTATAGGTATAGCATATGATTCAAAACTCTCGCAGCTACACAGGATTCATACCAGCTTCCTCAGGGCTCTTGTAAACACACGCCATTTTAAAAAAAAAAGTCGTGAGCAACATTCCCAGGTGTGAGAGCTTCAGTACTGCAGAAGCCACCAAGGCTGGCACATGCAACATGAGCTCACAGCACTGCTGTTCAGCGTGTGACCACAGCATCACCTAATAATGTCAAAATGTATATGTAACTGGTATTATTTAGCCATGATAGTATTACAGAAGAGCCTGAGTGTGATAATGACTGTGTACAATGTTCAAATATCAGTCAACCAATGTTGTTCACGATGTTCACAGTGCAAGCCACAGCACCACAGCATTATTTCGTCCCTCTAGGATTCTTCGAATGACTGCTTAAGTTCCTTTACAAAATAAATTTGTGGTAAATTATTTATTTACAGGATTTAGTGACCAGGAGTGTGATAATAGCAGGATTGTGGTGATAATTAGCACTGTGCGTAGTATTGTGGGAGGAGGAATTTTCATGAGGGAGGGAGGGAGGGAGGGAGGGGAATCGAGGTAGCGTCACTGTGTGTGGCAGCCAATCTTGTTTGGGCTCACCATACTAGCTTAGTAGTTCGCTATGGTGAACACACATAGATACTTATATATAACGTGTGTATAGAGTGTAATAAAAGCAACAGGAGTATGTTGGGGGGAGCCATTTTGGTGAGGGAGGTGGGTCGTAATCGTAGCATCGTCTGCTGTGTGACTTGTCATGCAGTGTACGGTGGGCACTGTGCTGTTTGGACACAATACCAGCTTAGCTGTATAGTTATGGTGAATAAAACATGTAGATACTTATACATAACATGTGTAAATAGTGTAATAAAAACAATAACAGTATGGTGGGAGGAAGAATGTTGGTGAGTAAGGTGTTAGAGGAGTGAGGGAGGGCTGGCTGTGTGTGGCACCTCACTTATGTTTTTTAGGCTCGCCATACCAACTTAGTGGTTCGTTATGGTGAATACATATGTAGATGGTTATATACAATGGGAGTATATAATGTTAATAACAGCAAAAACACTGTTTGATTGATTGTAGAATATAATATGTCACATACAGTATATGAGCCGCATAATTTTAAGAATAGCAATGTTCCACTTTGAACTATATATATTCCACAAATTACGCATTTTTGAATAATATTACAGCAAAAAACAAGAAATGAATGAGAAACATCAAAATAATTGTGAAACATTATATTCTCTGCAACTGCCGCCTAAAGGGGTCGCAGGGCCGACTGACTCCCAGCGCTCCATCACTCGGCGCCCATAATTTGCTCAACTTCCCAGGTCCATC